TCGGAACGGAGTCGATTTTCTGAACAAAAAATCGAATAATTTCAGAATTTTCCGAACAATTCCAAGAGATTTTTTTTATAGGTTATTTTAATGATATTGTATAATTATTTTAGTCCGCTACCATTGTTTCGGGGCGACGCTATGTAATTCTTGTGGCTTAATCGCCTAGTATAGCTCAGAGATCGGATAGGCCTTTATTTGTAATAATTTTTGATTTTTGGTCGCCATACGCAAGAATTTTTATTTTTGGCCCTCATCCGTAATTATTTAAAAATTCATTATATCGAGAGTTTTGTTAGTAAATTCACTATATTGAAAGAATTTTACATAGACTGGCTCTGAGCTTAACTTTACTATATCGAGAGTTCACTACAACGAGAGTGAGTTGTATTGACGTTAAGACAAAATGAAATAATACATATAACAAAATAAGCAAAACAGATATACCTAAACTACTTTACCAATAATTTATAATTCAGTATGTTTAATAATAAGTTCGTTTTTATAAACCAAAAATACAATTCATTAAAACCTCAATAGTGTAAGTAAACCTATATTAACCAAAATATTCTAAATAAAGCAAACTAGCTCTGAAACACAAAATTGAAAGCGCCATTGAAGCTGTTATGACTAAAACAACGCATGAAATAGAAGAATTAGGTATGAAAATATGCGTTTTTTGCTTATGCATATTTGATCTTTTATGTGTATCAAAATATACAGAGAAAGCGAGAGCGCTAGACATGAAGACGTAACTAAAAATAAATAAATTAATTCTATAATAAAATGTTTTTAAAAAAACATATATATTAATAAGATGACTTTTCATAATCAATAAAACTAATTAAGTTGTAAAAAAGATTAACATACGCGAGTCCCTCATTAATAAAGATCGATCCTATGATATTTCCCAAAACATGCCAAAATGTCCCAAAAGTTAATAAAAATGCATAAAAATGACAAACATGATATCCATTATTTGATTGAGTGTGTTCTTCGGATTTATTTTCATCAGAAGCATGTTGTGGTAAGCTAGTATAACCATTTCTAGCATTTTTTTTAGTCGCTAAATATATCCTTGCAAATTGAATAAAAAACGCCAAATCAATCGTTAGGTCTGTAAAGATATGTCAAATGTTAGTTGATATCCTGTATTATGCGGAAAGTGCATAATATAATTTACCTTGGAACTTAAACAAACTGGCATTATAAGGGAAGGGCAATAAAATAGTTGTGCTTTCGGATATTAACAAGTAAATGATACTTGATGCATGAGCACGATATGAAGTAATACTTCCTCCCTGAAGTAAAAGTGTCAATATAAAAACTTCAAAAAAATTATGTATTGAAGCAATTGATGTAAAAAGTTTTCCAAAATCAAAAAGAATTAAGGTGAGTGTACTTATTCCAGTTATAGTAACATATCCAGCAAGTATTTGATTAAAAAAAGTTGTTGAAGTTTTTACTCCATTAAGTACGAAGACATTAAATGTTTCATGTTTAAATGACCATATTAGCATAGATACGCTAGAAAATATTTCTATGATTGATGTGTAAAGAATCATCGAATACCATGTTTCTTGATCAAAATCTAAAGAAAATTTTTTTTCTTTAAAAAAAAAAATGCTATTAACTTACATCCAGTAAAACGAAATAAAAATATTTTATATACTTTTCAATTCACTATGCCATGACTGAAAACCTGTTATCGTAGCATTAATTGGCAATGTAAGGTTTAAATTTGCAACGGAAATGCGTAAAAGTACAAAACAAAACAACACTAGGAAGAAAAATGAGAAAATATAATGGGAAGTATTCATTTTCAACATTATTTTGTCACTTTATAGGTCAAATTTAATCCTTGGGAAATTTTCTATGTACGTATGTACGTACGTACGTACAGTATATACTAAAGCTGCAGATGAAACTAAATTATACGTAAAGGTACAGTACACGCGATCATCAATCAGCATTGGAGTTTGTACATATCAAATCGGGAATCTGGGAGGTTTTAATGGAAATTAAGAACTTTATTGAGTTGTATGTATATTTGTTACGGGTCAAATTGGTTTTTAGGTCAAGTTAAACTTGACCCGGGTTAAATTGATCCCTAGCAGAATTTTAGGGTTAAGGCGGGCCGGAATTATGTTGATGCCGGCCGGGGTTTTTTAATTGATCAATTTGACCCGGGTCAAGTTTAACTTGACCTATTTAGTGCAATCTTATACGTAGCATTTTATCTTATCCGGTCCTTACATCTGTACATTCTAAATTTAAATTAGCAGTTAGTGACGTTATTTATTTATTATTTATATAGTAGTACAATAATTCTATTTTTATCACATTATGATAGCTCGCAGGACCAGTATCTATTTTATCACATTAGGATAGCTCGCAGGACCAGTATCTATTTTTATCACATTAGGATAGCTCGCAGGACCAGTACGATCACATGTGTCACAAGTTAGTTTCAGTCATAACTTTAAAATGAGCTTATAGTATCAGATGAAACATGATTATTTATAATAGTTAGAGTTTAACAAGAGGTTCATTGTATTACTCTGCTACTTTATTATTTTACCAAAAGTTCTTGGGCTTTTTATACGTTTCGGGCCTTTATAAGATCTGCTTTTTAGGAGACATTGAACTACTACGTTGGTTTTACATAACTTATGCATACATCACTGAGCAATTATTTTTTATACTTTTATGTATAAATTTACTTTGTTCTTTGTGCAGAAACTCAAGATTTTTCATTTTATCCTCAGAATTTTAATACATGAAGAATTAAGTGCTTGAGAAGAAAATTCTGTAAGTAAAAACTTATTTTTTGATGAATTGTAATATTACGTAATTAACCACATATACGGTATCTGATATTTAACCAGAATGTTGATTGCATATACGGTAATTACGTAATACTACAATTCTCCAAGGACATCCACTCATTTGTGAATTTATGACATTATAAATGAAGTGTTTTTCTCTATAGGATTAATGAATCATACTAACTCAATATAGTAAAAATTCCACCATAATGATCACTTTACAACATTTAATATTTAGAGAATGAAGTTGTAACCACAACATAATCTCGCATATGCACTAAACGATTACCAAATATTTTATTTTTTTTCCTCTATAGCTACTATTATTGAACAAACCCAAGAATCAAAAAAATTTACATAGTAACTTTGCAAAAACCACCATACACATTAAAATGTATACGTGTCTTCTGAAATATGTAAAATTCACACGGTGTTTAATCTATACACATACGGAAAAAAAGTAATAGCCATAATACCTTCTAAAGTAAGAAAAAAATATAGCTAACCAAAAGGTTGAATGGAATCATTTTTCACATATTTCATATGGTCGTACTGGTAAATACAAAATTCGCATAAAAATGATAAGATGCTGATTTTTGCAAATAAAAAAAATAGCCTCAAAGCTCCGATTTACTGTGTACCAATCCCAGGGTTGTTAGTGGTAAGTTATATAATTGTTAGAATAGCATATTTAGCACATTTAGCATAATAGTGCATTTAGCATATTTAGCATAATTGTTAGAATAGTGCATTTAGCATATTTAGCATAATTGTTAGAATAGTGCATTTAGCATGTTGGCGGAGAAACATATGATATAATTACATATAGCATAATAAAAAATTTACCCAACCAAATCGTATGACTCTTTCAAGTAACTGTATGTCTCAAGTAACTGTATGTCCATTATTACACAAAGACTCCAGGTTTGCTATATGAATAGGAATTTTTAAAGACGAGTTTTTTCAAGTGACAATATGAATATTATAATTTTGCACAGTAAATTTTACCAAATAATTTAATAAAATTAATCCGAAAATAAAAGAGAAATAAACAAATAGAAATAAACAAATAGCAAAATATAAATAATACAAATATCTGAAAATTAATAATATTAATTAACTTTTTAAATGAATTTGACAATATATTTGATACAATCAAATTAAAAAATAATAAAAAGTAGTTAAATAATTATAGCTTTAATAATTTTTAATAATAATAACTAAACTGCAATTTTAACTAATTTAAAACATTACATAAGCACAAATTTTAAAGTCAAAAAATATATGAATTAAAAAAAGGGTTTATCATTTAGTCATTACATAGTTAAGTAAGACACTAAATGACAAAGTTAACTGCAATATATTCTATAAAGTTGTTTTCTTGATGCCCATGTAGCAAAAATGTTATTACGGCTATTTGAATTTAAACTTTTATTTAACGTTATCCCCCTCTCCGCCTTAAACCGCCCCCCTTAAATTAAACAATTAGAACAGCCACTAAAGATATTGCTTGTATTAAATACTACAATAATGATAACGATAAATACTGCATAATGATACATACTAAAGATACTTATTCATATTTAGTTAGAGTAATGAATATAGCTACTAATAAAGAAATAAGTGAAAATAAGACTGACAAATTTATTAATTCAAAATTAGATATACAGTTTTATGTAAATACTGTGAAAAAATATGATATATTTATAGCAATACCAATTTAACAACTGGTAAAAAAATCAAACTTCAATCTACACTTGATGGTTTATGCTATACATGTGGGTCTCCAGTCAAGAAATGAAATAATTCCATGACATTCCCTTTTGC